GTGGATATCACGCATTAGGGTTGGATGAGGGCGTAACTTTAAGGAGTAGCAAGAGGAAGTTTCTTTATAGTGATGTGAAGTTCTGTATCCTGATTATGGTGATGGTTACACATATAACATTTCATAAACAGAGAAAAAGGCATATAAAAATTGTAAAATCTGAGTAAGGTCTGTACCTGAGTTAATAGTACTGTTGCAATGTCAACTACCTAGTTTGACAATGTACCATAGTTACATCTTCTCTTGAGTCTTAAAGTATTTTGAAATACGATGTTATAAAAAAATTACAAGTAGGCAAAAGAAAAAAAAAGTGTATGACCAAGGGGCCTTATCCTAGTATTCTGAAAGAAGAGTCAAGAAAGGCTTTGTTCTATACAGAGGGAATGAGTACAAAATTTGTGAAAAGAGGAAGCATAACAACTTCATGAAATTTAAGTGCAGCTGAATTCAGAGACAGGGAGAGAGAGAGTGTTTACAATCAAGGAAATCCTCCTTTTGGTTCTGATACTATACAGAACCTCATGGCTATGTTAAGAGCCAACAAATGGAAAACAGAAGAGTTTTAACAGAGGGGGTTGGGGAAGGGGAAGCAAAATGGCATTATTAGTGGTGTCTACTCACATTCTGCTCCAGTGGAGAAGGGAGGTTGCAGGAAATATAGCTATCAGACTACTGTAGCAGTCCAGGAGTTGGATGATGGCAATGAAAATGGAGAGAAATGGATAGATTTGAGAGATATAATAGAACATAAAATAGATGGGACGTGGCTGTGGCTTAAAAGACTCTGAATACTCACTAGATTGGTAATATTGAACTAAACTATTTTGAAGGAACAATGGAGGAATTTGAAGAATGAGATGGTAAAAACAGATACAAGTTTAGACAACTAAAGAAATCTGGCAGTGAAAAAAGAGAAATGGGTTAGTAGAGGGAGGGGGCTTGTGGAAATGAGGGAGGATATTTTAAGAAGTGGTGGTGACTTGAGCATAGTTTAGTATTAGTAGGAAGAATCTAGTTCAAAGGAAAGAAGAGATGATGAAGAAACAGTGTAAGAACCAGTGTGAAGAAAGGGATGATGTGAAGTTTTGGTGAAAGCAGAACACTATGTGGCAGATGGGAATAATGGCAAGTTCATGAAACTGAAGTATAGCTAAAAAGAAAATGAGGGGGACAGTGGTGGGAGATAACTCAGAGAAGAGAGGCTACTTTCTTCCGTAGGAGAAGAGAAGGAGGTGAAAGTTGGGTACAGAAATAGGAATGTGTGATATTGGATGTGTTTTACCTGGTGACCTCTCTTTTCCCTTTGAAACAGTAAGAGAGGTGTATTGGTTTGCAAGGACTGCCACAACAATACCAAAGAATAGGTGTCTTAAACAACAAAAATTTGTTTCTTCACAGTTGTAGAGGCTAGAAGTTTGAGATCAACTTATCACCATGACTGCTTTCTTCTGAGGACCCTCTCCTTGGGTTATAGCTGGCCATCTTCTCTCTGTGTCTTTGCATGGTCTTTCCTGAGTGTCTGTGTCCTCATCTCACCTTCTTGTAAGAACACCAGTTACAGGGGATTAGGGCCACCTTAATGACCTCATTTTAATTGAATTGCCTCATTAAAGAACCTACCTGATTACATTCTTAAGTACTGAGAGTCAAGATTTCAACATAAGAGTTTTAGAGGAACATAATTTAGCCCAAAACAAGAAGTTACTTGCTGTAAGTGACATGAAAGGTTCAATGCGAAAGAGGTTTGAAATAGTTGTAAATATTTTGAAATAATTCTCATATTGACTATTACATAAAATCACATCTTAAATAGGTAATTGAATTTAAATTCAACTTAAAATAAAATTTTGACTTTTTTATTCGATTAAAAAATTGTTTTAAAAATCCAAAAATCTGAATTCTAATTCTCCTTCTGCTAACAAGCTATGACCCCTATATATATATGGCTCTTATTTTTGTCACTCTAAAATGGGTAGGAACAACATATCACAGGATAGACTTATGTATCAGAGATTACTAGAAAGAGCACTCACTTGGGAATCCCTGACATCCTGGGTCCTAGATTCTGTTCTGTCACAGGTTAATTTTCCTGAACCTCAGATTCCTCATCTTAAAATGGAATACAAGTAAATCATCTCCAAAGTCCCTTGTAAATGAAATGAAGTAACATGAAGTTACTTTGAGATTAAGTGGGCTGTGGTATTGGAAGGGAAAGATTCTTTGAAATATTTGCCAATAAAAAGTTGAATTGTATGCTTGCTGCATACCGAAACATTGGTCTTCCCTTTCTATTTTTTTCTACATTCTCCTCTGTCCCCAAATTAATATTACTGTTATGGTTAAAGCTGTGTAAATACACCTCTTTTTCACCTTTATTGACTTAGAATGCTAAGTGCTAGGCTGCAATACGATATTACTTCTTTTGTTATATGTAATTATCTGCTTGTTTTATCAATAAATGATTAAATTCTAAAATAGCATTTGGGACATGCTTACAATATGAGTTTTACATGTTAAAATAAAGTTGAATGATGGACATATTAGTCAGAAACATACATGGGCTAGGTGTGGTGGCTCACGCATGTAATCCTAGCACTTTGGCAGGCCAAGGCCGGAGGATCGCTTGAGGCCAGGAGTTTGAGACCAGCCTGAGCAACACAGTGTCTCTACAAAAAATAAAGAAATTAGCAGGGTGTGGTGGTAGTGCCTGTAGTACCAACTATTCAGGACGCTGAGGGAAGAGGATTGCTTAATCCCAGGAGTTTGAAGTTGCAGTGAGCTATGACAACACCGTTGCACTCTAGCCCGGGCAACAGAGTGAGACCCTGTCTCAAATAAACCAAAACCAAAACCAAACAAACAAAAAAACATGGCTACAGTAATAGGAAAGTCTTAAATAAACAGTTTATTTTTCTCACGTAATAATAAGTGCAGAGGTTGGCAATTGCCCATGTTGGTTTGAGCGTTCAACAATGACATCAGGGACCCAGGTTCCTCTCTAATCCTTCTTCAGCTCTATCTTTGAAATGTAACCTTCATTCTCACATTTGCCATTTCATGGTTGAAAATGATGCCACACCTCTAGGTATCTTGTTGGCATTCAAGATGGCCAGAAAGAGGAGAAAAGGGCAAACAGTGTCACCTTATGAAGCTTTCACTTTTTAAATTGAAAGGAAAGTCCTTCCCAGCAGGCTTCTGTTCATTTCATCGGCCTAACTCTGTCATATTCCACATGTTAGATCTATGTTGTCTAATACGTAGCCACCAGTTACATGTGGCTATTTTAATTTTAAAACATTAAAAATTAAAATTTTCAGTTGCATCAGCCATATTTCAAGTGCTCAATAGCCACAAAAGGCTAGTGGCTATTACACTGGACAGCACATATAGTTTAACTCTTTCACTGCAAAAAGTTCTGCCTCGGACTAATCAGACCCTAAGAAATGAAACCACCACTTCTGTTTCAGATCAATGAAGATGCAGCCTCTGGGGCTGGGGTGAGGTCCTAATCTCTTTGAGGAAAAGGGATGTTTGCCACTATCTGATCAAAATAGGATACTGTTAAGGAAGGAAAAATAGAGGTAATCGCAGTTGGGTGGGCAACTGTCTGCCACAATGGGATCACCAGTACATTTAAGTTGAAGTTTATAAATCATTGCACATTGACAATATGCTTAACAAATAAAAATTTCTGGCAAGAAGTTATTAAAAATTTTTTAAAAAGCGAAAGAAACTAAGGCAGGCAGCTACAGAAGGCACTGAATTACTTACTACACAAATATAATTGCTAAAGTAAACACTAATTTAGTGATTAATGGGGAGGAGGTTAGAGAGGGAAAAGATAGTGGGACAATATGCAGGCACTATTTTCTTTAAAGAAAGCATAAATTTGAAATGGCTGATTATGTTGAAAATGCAGTTACTAATTTCATGCCCAGAAACAGTATATTGTTGTGGTAACAAAGATGAGTGAAGAATTACTTTCACATGAGAGGAGTTATTTCACAGAAGATATTAATCAGCTGCTCGATACTGATACTCACAGCAGAAAAATAAAAAACTGTAAAATGAAAGATTTGACTAGATACGGAAAATAATTTACTAATAGTAAGAATCATTCATATGGTTAAAAGATGCTGATATTGACAACAGTTTTCTTTCTGAAGACTTGCAGATTGTCAACTCCTCACAATCCCCCACTTGCCCAATGCAGCAAAGACAAATCTGCACAAGCCTCTTTGTATTGTTAATAAAAATAAATTTATATATACAAAACAAATCAATACTAACAATAAATATTTTCCCTGAATGAACAATTGCCTGTTTTAAAAATTAATTTGTGTCTAAATAATGTTTAACTTTCCAAGACCTTTCTATTCTATTGAAACATGCAAAATATTGTTGAAGATAGCATAATGATTATTATGAAAAGAGAAAAATAGTAAGAAATACCAATTATAATGAAAGAGGTGATCGGATATGAGAATTGTAATAATTTGTCTCTAAAGCCAGTTTAGATTTTTTCACTTTTTCCAAAATTGAAAATAAATCAGCCACTACAACTCCTTTAATCCCCACTCTCTATGATCCTTAAATATTCCTTTATGTACTTTACCATTAAAAGGTTCAATAAATATAACTTGCATAAAGGTTAAATTTTAAGTGTTATAACGCAAATTAACCTTAAGGCATTTTATAGGTAAAAATCTCAATTATGTCCTATGTCAAAACAAAAATTTTACAAAGAGATATTGCATAACTTTGGAGAATGACATATTTTAAGCAAGATTTATCAGAATAACATTATAGCAGATAAAACAATTCAAATAGCCCACTGGAATCCAGAGCAAAATCCAACCTGACAATACAAAGAAAGTCAAAATAATTTGCTTCTGTCAGCTACGTATCCTGGGTATTTCCTATCACCAGTGAGAAAGAAACTGAGTTCTAAAACAATATATTCATTATGAATACAACAAAATGGAGCTAGAATCTTCATATGCAAGTTTAATAAATCATCATGGTTTATTTAACAAGGTTATTTCTACATCAGAGTTATTATATTTTATATATGTGTGTGTGTGTGATATGAAGAGACTGATGTACAATCAATAAGTCTTAAATCTCTCTTCCATGGATTTCCCCCATCTTTCTGCTTAGCAGTTAAAAGGCATTTTTAGGTTTATATAAACACATTCTTTACAACTGCCTTCTTAACAGAAAATTACTGTAGTATATAAATAGCACAGGGCATTTATTAAATAAGTCACAGGCCATTAAGTTCAATTGTGCAGTTGTGAAATCTAACGTCAAAGAGTTTTTGAAACCTTAAGACTGGGTGATCTGCAATGTTTCCAACATGTCTTCGACTGCCTTAAGAGAGTATTTGGTTTCCTTCTTACTTCGACCTGCAAACTAATTAAAAAAAAAAAAAAAAAAAAAAAAGCTCAATTAGGCTCAATTTCAGTGGCAGGTTCAAAATCACAATCTTACCCTCACATTGTAATGAAACTTAACATTAACTATTTTATCACTAGCATGAAATCAAGTTAAGTTCTTTTGTTTCGATAAGAATAAATTTGGGTTTTAAGGACAATTTTATTAAGATTTCATCTTCATTTGAAGTATACAAAGATTTCACTGCATACTTGGCCAATTTAAGTGATATAATAACCTATAAATTTATAGATTTGATTTTAAAACTATCCTATTCTAACCTGAAAACATTTATGAAATAAAAAGTATAATTTTTAAATGAAATTTAACATATTTATGTAGGAATGTAAATCATTTCTACTTATCTGGTCTCTAAACAGATTTTTAAAATTTCAAATGAAGATATAATATAAATGAAAATACTTTTTAAAAAATATTTTAAAGTTGCAAATAATCTCTAAAATTATTTAAAGTAGGTCATAATATTTTTAGGTTTCCAGATTTATTGCTGCCTAATGATATTATGGTTCTGCAAAGAGCTGTCAAGTAAAATTCTATGCTCTAGAACCTGGATGAGTAAAAACAAAACAAAACAATGCCACATATTAAAATGATATAAACATGTTTTAAAGTATGCAACCTTATAATTTGCTTTATAAAACTAAACTGGGACTGAACTTTACAATGAAAACAAAATATAATGTGCAAGTATATACACAAAATATATACTATCTTTGTATATTTAAAAGAAAATTCATGGCATATTAAGTTCAATATAGTACACATAATCAGTGGGGGAAACACTGTTGAATACCCCATGCTGATTTCAAAATGAGTTTTCTCACTGGACTGACAATTCCCATCATTTATCAGTCGGATTTAACACAACAGATTTATTAGATAAGTGTTCCTTGTGTGGGTGGGGGGAAGTTTATTACATCTATATTATCTGTTTTCTCCCTTGTTAAAGTAGTGATTAAAATGTGGTATTAGAAACATCTAGTATTTTTAAGTTAACATCTAACCACTCAATACATTTTCAAGTGACTTATCATTCCTTCGAACAGCAATTCTGTCTTAAGTACTTAGTACTTGATTTATGAAGTGTTTCTTCTCTTTTGTAATTAACTTAATTTGGCAAACTTCTCATGACCTGTTCAGAAAGATCAAGTGATCAAGCACAGGTAACATCATAGAAGCCATAGGGTCCAGGAATTGGTAACCTGCCTCTGACCCCTCTGGCTACAGCTTAACATTATGATTCCCTTACTTCCTAACCTAAACCATTAGCTTCTGTGGTTGAATCTTGAATTGACAGAGTAAATAACGGGTGTTTCTGGAGGAAATGCCAGAGAAGAAGAAAAGCTTACAAAAATCAAGATCACCTTGCCTTTCATAAGGCATCAGTAATTTAAGTAATTCAAATGTTAAAAATATGTTATAATTACAAAACACGGTAACAGCAATAACACATTTAAACCTTTGTCTTTTCATAATTTCCCTTAGGGAGTGAAGGATGTGCAGCATGCTTATTACTTCTATTATCCAGTTGATAAATTCACTTTCACAAGGATTTACCAAGAACAGAAAGCCTTTTCTTTCACCACTGCCTACCCAAGGTAAACAGGAATGGTCCTAATCAGATACTTAAAGGTTTAATTCTGAAAAAATCTTTGATGGGTTGGGGGAGGGGTACAAAATAGGACACCACATAGTAATATTTATTCTAATGTTTTTAAATAGCAAAGTAAAAATGAAAAACTTTGTAGCACTAAAGTCATATCTTAAAATATAGCATTTTTTTTTGGTTTGTACTTAAACATAATAAAAATAATACGGAGTGCAATTTTTAAAAATTAGCTAATTCAAAAAAATCTCCTAAGATGGTGTCAACACTACTGACAAGCAGCGTAATTTAGAATAAACCAAACTAATTTCCTTGTGTCAGAACAAATAAAAAGGAAGTTGGAAATATAAATCCATCACTTCAAATTTTACCTGACATGCAATTATTTTGTCTATTCCAGAATTATATGGTAATTTAACTGATTAAGTTGGAATCACATTTTTCCTCAAATCATGATTTAATTTTCTATTTCCCAAAAGGATACTAACACAATCACAACTGCAATCATAAATAACATATGGATCACTAGCACAGATGGATTTAACAGTGTACCAAAGAAGCATTTATCTGGAAAATTATTGTGAGTAGGTTCACATTAAAATTTTTCATGAGCATTAATCAAATGCGCCTGCCTCTACTGAACATGCTAAACCAATTACCTAACTGAAGAGCAAGTAGAAGCCATATTCTGTTTCATTATTAAGTGGAAACAAAGAAAGAAAAGCAGTTCTTAAAACCTAACTGTCTCCAATTTATAAATACATCTAGAAAAGTAACATAAGGAATATTTATTATATACTTTATACTAGCTTATATGCTTAGATATGAGTCATGAAGTTCTCAATTAGATCCCAGAGATTTACCTAATTAAAAAAAATGTCAATCTCTGAAAGTTGTACTTTTCTATATTATTCACAAATTCTGTATTTTTGTTTTCATACAGTTAGCTTTTGCTTAAGTAAATTCTTCTTTCATAATTCTGTTAGAGCTAAAAGAAAAGTCACCAGAGAGAACACAAAAACAGTCAAATAATAAAAGCTTGCTTATCAATTTCAGAGGTTAATGATACTGTAATAACTGCAATGCACTGGGCTAAAGTTTACCTTCACATAATTTGTGGAAAATAATATGGATAGAGAAAGTAACAGGATAAGTGAAATGGAATGGTAGATGAATAAATCTCAGAAATATCATGCTTAGTGAAAGAATCAGACACACAAGAGCATATAACCTATGATCTCATTTATATAAAGTTCCAGGACAGGCAAACTAAAGTTTGGTGATAAAAATCAAATCAGTGCTTGCCTGCCTCCCAGTGAAGGGGGTGGGGATTGACCACAAAGTAGCAGAAGGAAATTTTCTAGGATGATGGAAATGCTGCATATCTTCGGTGGGGTGATGGTGAGAGGGGTGTATACTTTTGTCAAAACTCAAACTGTACAAAGGTGTGTATTTTACTGCACGTAAATTATACTTCAATAAAATGGATAAAAATAAACTAAAACAAAAGGATAGGACTTATGGAGTTATACAATAGTGTAATAAATTGCCAGATGACCACATTTTTCTCTTCCCATTGAGAGGTGAAGTATTACATCCCTTGAATCTGGGTTGACTATGTGACTTGCTTTGGCCACTGGGATAATAGTAAAATGTGATACAAGTATATGCTTAAAAAGCATGTGTACATTGGAGTTTGCCTGTGTGCTACTCTTGGAACCCTGAGATCATCATGTGAATAAGTCCAAGTTAGACTGCTGAATGAGAGACACAAGGCCCAGCACCCCCAGCTGACAGAAGGCCAACTGTCAAGCTGTTGTTTAAGTGAGGCCATTGACCACCAGCATACCGCAGAAACATGAGTGAGCCCAGACGACACTAGTGGAATTACTCAACTGATCTCAAGCCAAACTGCCTACCAACAGAATCATAAGAAAATAAATTGGTATTTTAAACCACTAAGTTAGAACCTCTGTAGAGAAAGCAGAGAATACAAATGCTTCAAAAGCATCAAGAGATTTCATTCTAAACCTTTTACTGGTATCAAGAAATAAAAATAAATTTTGCATGAGAGGTGATTCCCAGTTGAGAGGTATTAAAAGTTGTTATACAGAAACCTAGCATGACCAACTGAGAGGTATATTATCTTCCTGGAGTCATAACCAAAATGAATGAGAAACTGTTGAGAAAAATTCCTTGTATTATCCTTTCCTAAGGAATAAAGAAAAGGCAAATCACACCTTCAACAAAGATGTGGAAAACATTGCTGGGTATTATGGAGTTTACGATGCCAAACTCAAAAGACTGAAGAGCACAAGTGATGCTACCAGAGCTCTTTCCAAAAACATTGAGTCTTTATCAAATAAGACTTTATGAAAAGGAAATGGATCTAAAAACATACCAAAAAAAGAGAAAGAGAACGGTAGGGAGGGCAAATGTTATCAAAGAACAGGATTTGATTCTATGAACAATGGCTTAAAATACTGAAATGATGGTTTCAAGTCTAGTGGTAAAGTGCATCTCGTAAGTCAGGGAAGGACGTGTTTGCCTAGAGATCTAATCAAGGGGGCCTTGTATCACTGAAGAGATGGGGAGAAAAAAAAGCAAACAAAACAAAACTCTTGAGGTCAGTTACTATTGAGAGATTTCAGTCTGAAATGAAGAGAAACATATGGGGGTAGGATATCAGTTGTTTATGTAAGAAAATAATTGAGGAGGGAGTTAGACACTATAATGACAGCTTAAGATACACTTATACCTGACATATCTTTATAGAGGCAGTGTACTGTGACCCTTAAGAGTACCAACTCTGGAGTCAGACTGCCTGGGTTTGAAAACAGGTTTGTCAATAACCAGCTGTGCCACCTTGGGAAAGTTATTTAATCTTTCCACGCTTTAAATTGCTCACGTCTAAAACAGGAAAAGTGCCAAGTTCATAATAAATTCTTTATAAATGTTTGCTATTATAATGATTGTTGTTATTATTGCAAGGATCAGAGCAGGCATAATAACCATACAGCACGTGATTAATAAACACAATGTAACATATATTACTGTGATTTGGTGAAAATTACGCCTTAACTCTTTTAATTCACAGAATAATTTTATTATGTCTGTCCTGCAGAAGAAAAGCTAGGCCCCATGTAAGAAGTTATGTAATTTATCCAGATTGCGTATCAGAACCAAATTTTGATTCCAGATAATATGGATCTAGCATCTGTGATCTCCTCTGAACTACTACATTGAATTAGCTTCCATGGAACAGGGCTTATGATAGAATACAGAGAGGGACAGAAACACTGGATATCCACATGGGGAGAAATTGACCCCTACTTCACATCATACATAAAAATCAATTCCAAATGCATTACTGACAGTCTGAAAAGAAAAAGAATGGAAATTCTAAAGACACGAGATTGTCTTTATGATCATGGAGTAGGAAAAGATTTCTTAAACAGAATACAAAAAACACAAACCATAAAGAAAATGACTGATAAATCTGAACCCATTTAACTTCAGAACCTCTATTCATCAAAATCAAGTGACAGTAGAAGCAAGTAAGGAGTTAAGAGATATTTGCTACACATATAACAAAAAAAAGAGCTCTTAACTAGAAAACTTAAAAAATAAGAGTCATACAAACCAATGAGAAAGAGAGAGTTCATGAAAGAGGATATCCAAATGACGAATAAACACATGGAAGTGTTCAAACTCACTCATCAAGGACAAGCAAAATAAAACAATAAAACATCAATGAAATGCCAACACACCAACACCGGAATAGCTGTAACGACAAAGACTGACAGAAACAAGTGTTGAGGAAGAAGTGGAACTATTAGAAATCTCAAATAATGCTGTTGGGAGTACAGAACTGATTTGCCTTTATCTACTAAAGTTAAATATACACACATTCTATGCCCCAGTATTTCCACTCAAAGGTATATGCTCATCTGAAGTGCATGTACGTGTATAGCAAAAGACCTATATGGCAATATTCAGTGTAGCATTATTCACAATAGCCCCAAATAGGAAATAATACAAATGCTCAACAACTGACTAAATTGTAATATGTTCATACAATAGACTACAGTACAATGAAAATGAATGAACTATAGACATTATACAAGGATCAATCTCATAAGCTAATAGTGAGTGAAATATGCCAGACAAAAATACATAGATACCATATGATTCCATAAACTACAGGGTCGGTACTCTTGAGGAAGATACGAGTAGACATTGACGAGACGTACCAAGAGGATTAGGGGACATTATATTTATATCATATTTATTAGCCTGGATACACTTATCTTGTATTATTCATTAAAATGCACATTTATAACTTCGGTTCTTTCTTCTGTGTATGTTATAACTTAATAAAAATAGTCATAATACGTCAAAAAAAGCACAATCTGAGCAGCTAGTTGTTTCTCATAAATATTTTAAAACCAATGATGCAATGTGCATACCATTAGTATTATGTTATACAAAACTTATCTTTCATTCACACCCCCCGCCAATTCTACTCTATGCGGAACCCCATTACAGATCTCAGCTATCCCAAACTGCATTTTAAGAAGCAAAGCCTAGCTAATACTTCTAAATATTCTGGCTTACAATATGCCAACAGAACTAACATGCTCTATAATAGATAACAAAAATACACAAAGGTGACTTTCAATGATGTGATTGTGGGGGCACTAAATATTTTTAATCTCCCCAATCTTCTCCAACAAGGAGTACAAAAACAAAACAGAAAACAGCACCAAAACCAACATAACAGAAAACAAGCCTACAGCTGATATCTTCAAAAAAAACTAGGTAAGTAATTTTCTAAAATCCTAGAATGTGATTATGTCACCAATAGCAGGACCTACAAAAGTTCAATAGCTGTTTGGTAGGAGCAACAGGATATAATAGTGCACTACCTACACTACTCTGCAAGAAACCAAAAATAAAAAAAAAAAATGAACTAATACTTAATCCCTCAAACAAAAGGATCTTAGTTGATAAATCTGCAAAAAGCCTACAAAACTGAGAAAGTCTTCATAGGCTCCAAAACAAAGAGAAATGTAAAAACTGCATGCAAACGTAAATGAAACAAATCTAACCATCTAATACCTCAAAATTTCTGAAATATCCAGAAAACATTCTCTTCCAGAAAGACAAAACCTCACACCCTGAAGGAAAATTATTGGAAACTAAAACCCAATTGAATAGGGAAGAAACTCTGGAGGGAAAGATGGTTCAGATAAGGGAGGATGAGGAAGGAAGTGATGGCCAAAGGCAGTAAACCTAGAAGAAAACAAAATGAAAAACAAAAACACCATAACAATAATGTGTACATAAAGATTTAAAGCTTAGAGCAACACCTCAGAATTCAAGATCTTTAGAGCTCTAGAGGTACAACATAGGGCTGGGGCCAGAAAATCTTTCTGAGTAAGACTTAGTTCTGAAAAAGACTAGATATACAGACAGGTCATATCTGAGTTCTCAGTAACAAAAAGAAGCAAGTCACTAAAAAGTCAAGTTGGGTAAGCTACCCTATCCTATCTCCAACTTCTCCCACTCCATACCATCTCCTCCTAATAGTCCAGGAAAAATACCTAGAACAAGAAAAAGAACATGAACCTACTCCATCAAAAATTATTATGGAGAAAAAAAGAATAAAATAAAATACAGAAGATGACAGAAATGGAAAGAAAATGAATAGAGGACATAGGAAAAGGAAATTATAAGTATACAATATAATTGGAGCCCTGAAAAAGAAAACTTAGGCAAACAATGAAAAAAAATAATTATAAAAGCAACTTTTCTCACTTGAGAGGACTATATCCACATACTAAATGGGTGTATTGTGTATTTGGGACACCTAACTCAAGAATAATCAATAAAACCTATTATATAGTAAGACTACTGGATTTAATAGATAAAGAAAAAATTTGTTTGGGTAACCAAAGAGTCTAAGTCACTTATGAGAAAAAGAAAATCAGGATGGCATCAGACTTCTTGACAGCAATATTTTATCCTAAAAAACAATGGAACAACATATTTAAGATGAGTAAAGTTTAAGCCAAAGTGCATATAGCCAAATTGTCTTTTAAATATAAAGGTTATAGACAAATAGTTATAAACATGCAAGATGTAAGAGGATATGTTTTCCATGAGCAAATTTCCCATGAAAAATTTCCTGAAAAATCTCCTTAGGGACAAGCTTCAGAAAACTAAGAAGTGAATGGAGAAGTTTCGATGTAAGATCTGAAGTATAAGCAAACTGCACAAACTTTGCTATATAGTTTGATTAGTTTACTTCTATGCTTTTCTATTTCTTGAGATACCTAGGATTAATAATACTCCCACCTAGCCAACCTGCTTCTGAAATGTATCATGCAATTTATTTATCTTTTCTAGATTTTTAGAATTACTTTACATTTGAAAAATGCAGAAACACTGAGATTTCCAGATAGTAAGGCTAATTATGATACAATAATATTAATAGATTTCTTTTGGGAAAAAAAAAAAAAAAGTGGTCCTAAAACTATAAATTAATTCTACACAAATAAATCACATTTGATAAAGGCCCTAAAGCATGAAAGTCCAATGCTAGACATGTGACTGTAGTTTGTAGGAATGAAAATAACTAAGAAATATATTAACTGACCTATGTGATAACAAATTATCAATACTAACCTGATAAGCTCTGTTTATTTGACTAGCTGCCCAACTAGCATATTTCATGTTGTCCTTTTTCGTTTTTGCACTTGCTTTTGGATTAGAAGCAATATGACTTGCTGACTAAAAGCAAAAAAGAAACATCAAAAACCAAATTCCTTTTTTCTTAGTCAAGATAATCAAAAACATAAAGTTGAATAAAATTAGTGTTTAAAAATGAAAATATATTTCAAAATATAATATAACCCAAAGTAATGGAAAGAGAAAGGAAATATTTTAAATAATATCTAAAATTATTTAAATACGTATCTATTACTATAGCTCTTAAAGGTAAAATCCCATATCACTTAAATAAAGTAAAGAGCAAGCCATGGAAGAACACTTTATAAACCAAAAGCACTTTACCCCTATAGGATATTGTTGATATTATTCACGTTACTGAATTACATTAGTTTTCCAATGTGAGAATTATAGAATTTTTTAATAGAAAAAAACCCTCAAATATAATTTACCCGAAGTTCCTATATTAATAGGTGAAAAACCTAAGTCCAATAGTAGTGACTTAACTTGACCAAAGCAAGTTAATGGAAGTCTTTGAAATAAAGGAGATTCTCCTTATCTCTAATCCATTTCTCTTTTCATTATACCCAAAGTTTTCAAACTGTTTCACAGAACTGATTAGCCACTGCAATTTGATCGACCTTCTCCTTTTTAAAATGTATTTAAATGAGGGATTCTTAATTGGAGATGCATGAAAGAATATGTAAACCCTCAAATCATATGCTAATTTTTAAATGTATGTTTGTATTTCTGGGGAGAGAAAGATACAACTTTTGTCTTATTCTTAAATATATCTTACTCTTAAAAGGATCTATGTGATTCAAAAAAAGGTTGTCTTCTTTTTATACCTAGGCTGTGCTACAGGTCATTTCACCTGTGTTTCCACCTCTAAGTCTTTAATGTCTCTTTTTTGGTATGAATTTCAGTAAATGAAGCGGTTAAGAGTCAACTGGAGTCAACTGCCTGGGCTGGAATGCCAGCTCAATCATTTAGGAGCTGTGTGTTTATCGTTGGACAAATTAATTGAATCTCTGTGTCTCAGTCTCACCATCTGTGAAATAGTCACATTAAGAGTAACTACTCAAATTTGAGTGCCTACTCAAATAGCTGATGTGAGGATTTAATGATTTACACAAAAAACAGAGCTCAGACACACTGCCTGGCACATGCAGTGCTATGTATACACTATCATTATTAATAATTTGTTGTTATATAGTCTTAAAAATAAGTATTTAATTTATCTGGTAAAGAGATACTGCTACTATACTATATCTCCAAGCCACTTCAACTGGCTCTGGTAGAATCCAGGAAAATTTTCTTGAAATTTCTTTGAACCATTTTCTAATCATATTTTGTCATTTCTTTCTATTAAGTATTTCATTTATGTTTCTTCCTATCCTCCATTTCTTCAATCAATTTTTTTCACTGAGTCCAAACAATAAGATACTCATGAAAAAGTCCATAAGACTAAGATAAATGAAAATTTCAAAGAACTAACTGACCTACTAATTTTCCCAGCCTTTCTGATTGCAGAGAGTTATTCATTTTATATATATTTTAAAGGTCAGCAAATTCTTCCTCTATTTCACACAGC